CCCTGGAAGGACAGATCCTGAAGCTGAGGCTCCAATACTTTGGCCATCTCATGAGAAGAGAAGACTCCCTGGAAAAGACCCTGATGCTGGGAAAGTATGAGGGCAAGAGGACTGTTTTGCAAATTGCTATAGCGATCGCAAAAAGTCATCATCATGCGGATTTGTTGTTTATCAGGGCCGTCGTTTAGTAAGGAACCACTGTAAAAGTAAATCTTCCCCTTGACATTTTGTCCACTTGTGTCTGACTCTAGCACGCGGTGCTCGTCCCTGTCTCGAAGCCATAGAGCCAGCGTTTGTCTGTACCCCTTCCCACCGAAGGGGTACCTATTTATCTACTTACATTTACATGCTTTTGAACTGCTAGGTTGGCAGGAGCTGGGACAAGCGATGGGAGCTCACTCTGTCGCATGGATTCGATCTTATGACGGCTGGTCTTCCGACCTTGCAGCACAGAGGCTCCTGCGGTTTAACCCACAACGCCACCATGTCCCTCGCTATGTAGAACAGAATTTGCTAAAATAGTATTCACTTTAATCTGCATATTTCAGAATCCGTGGAGGAGGGTTTGGAAACGATCACTGGTGGAAATGGGGGTCTCACTGTATTTTTATCTAATTGGTAGTTATATTTCTATCATGCCTTTCTCTGATGAGTTCAAAGTGATTCACCCGACCCTTCTTTTCTCCATGTTCTCACAACAGTCTTGTGAGGTAGGTCAGTTTCTGAGGGAAAGTGACTAGCCATTGTGAATTCCACAGCCCATTAGAATGAGGATCTCCCTGTTTCAATCCAGCATGCTAAATGCAACTTCACAGTAAGTAAGTGCCTGAATTTACTATTTCTGGGCCTGAAGGTGCATGGATAAAAATGGAAGCATTTTGAACTCTTCTCGTAAACCAATTAGAAAACAAAAAAAACCAACAAAAGCTAGAATATAAATAGCTGCAAAACAGCAGTAGATCTGATAGAAGGATCTTTCTATTTTAGAGCATTGCTGCTGCACCTTGGCATCAAGCCTTCAGAAAGTTACTTCTTTTAGACTTCCATTTGCAGGCTTTCCCCAAAGAGTCACTCTCAGGATTGACTGAACTGTGGCCTGGAAAAATAATGTATTTGAGCTCTGACTGGAAACAGACTTTTAGCAGATCAAAGGATTGTTAATAGTCTTCTGTGTTCTTGTCTGCTTGAATTGAAGGACGTTCTGTCCTGTGTCATAGGTAACCACTTAAATGTCTCTTCCCCCCCCTCCCCGCTGTTCCTGGGCTATATAATTAATCCATCATGACCCAGGATTGTTTCTGTATGCACCTCTGTCTAATGGTCAGGACTAGCACAACACAGAACTCACAGCATCAGCAATGGACAAGACAACACACGTTATCTTTCCCACCTTTCTTACTTCCTCATGGGCAAGAAGAGACATCTTCCATGGCACTTAAGGGGAGTAGCTGACGTGGGGGACACCCCCTGTTTCCCTCAACTTCTCTGGCCCTCCTATTTCCCCAGCATCTGCAGTCTAGGAAGGATGCTTCATTCTGCCTCCCGTTAGGACTGGCACTTTTAAAGGATTCCTTACAGAGG